TTGCCCGCGATCAATGTACCGATCAAACTCTCTCGCAATAGGTTACCTTTGTCTTTGCAATTAATAGCGCCGCTCTTTCACGAACAGAGGCTACTTACAGTGGCAAAGTGGATCGAACAGACAGTGCGATTTCCGAGACTCGAATTAAAGAATTCATGTTTGCTTGAATAAAATAACTTTTTACAATCATTGGTGGATTTTCTTTGGTTTATTAAGATTGCATTCTTTTTTAAGTTGTACGTATATATCACGTTAGATTGATCTATTATTAGATTGATCTAACTACCAGCTAATATCATTGGATTTCATATATGTTCTTTTGAATAATACGTATACAATTAGAACGAAAATTAGTACATAGATTTTCCTGCGTAACGCAACGGCGCGTAGCCCTGAGGCTATGCAATGCAAACAAGTTACACTCCCCGTATACCATCTAGCGTATCTGAAATTCTATTCGTCGAGTAATAGCGTTTGCTTTTGCAACCAAACGACTCTCGTCTCGTTTCACCGCGTTATAATGTTTATTATATACAAAGACGAAATTGTGGATCTCTTCACTGTAAGACTAATTTTTTGAAAAACAGGCGAGAAAGAACTTTTCCAAGTAAATATATGTTGTTAAAAGAATAACTTTTTATTAAGTTTTTATTTTTAAAGATAATGCAGCCTTTTTTATGTCCAATTTTTGTATTTATTTTCCATCTCGGTCTCGGTTATCTAATATATATTATATATTATATTCTTATTTTCACTGCGAGTTGCTGAGGCTTGCATGACGAAATTCTGACATTTCGAAATTCATCTCCCGAGGACCTGAGGGTGATTTGAGCATAATACAAACAACTAACAATATGGGCATGCCAAATCTATTCACGTAACCGACGTAACGTAGCTTCAATAATTAGATTGTTGTAACGTTTCAGTCCGATTTATTGTATATTGAATTCATATCAGATTAAGGAATGGGACAATCTAATTTATATAAACTCAATTACGTTTTATTGTTTGAGAGAAATTCATCTATATATACAAAAAGCTGCACAATTATAAAAAATAATTGCAGATTGCACGACATAAAATAATGGAATATCACATGTACAGAATAAGTAAATTACTAATCGAATTACATTTTTCTTTTAACACAAGTAGATGACGTCTGAAATAGTGAAGGCGAGATTTATTTCGAGAAAAATATAATATTTCCTTATCTCGAAATGAACCTTGCCTTCGTTATTTCAAACGTTATCTACTTATATTATTCGTTGAAAAATTGAATAAACGAGGAGACGTTCAACATCTCTGTACTGAATACTAAATGATATTCATATGTATCTTTTTTTCTTTTTACAATTCAGCGCGATATCGGTCTCCGAGTTTTAAGGAAATAGTTCAAAAGAACAGAAATAATGTATTCTTTCTGTATATATATTATTTCGTTCTCTGGTAATAGCGGTGCAAGTGATGTTGAATCGTGCATATATTCGGACGTTTCAAATGCGTGCTGTCTAATTTTGTATTCTCTTTTCTTGCTATATTACGTAATTCCGGTTCTTATCGTTGTATAAAACTAGGTTGACTATGAAACCACGAGAAATGGAACAATTATACGTCCCATTTCTCGTGGTTTTGTCAAAGAGAAACTGAACGCTACAAATCTTTTCGTTACTCATTGTAGCATCTCGCTATCATATCATTATCATATTAAATATAAAAAGTTTTAAATCATTCTCTAAATTAAAATATATAACTTTATATGAATTCCTATTATACTATTTTTTTAACTGTTGAATCGTTTTTCAATCCATTCACTTTCCTATGGACAAAATTAAAGTGAATATGAACGGCTTGCTCGAATGTGCTGAACTAGGTTGCATCATGTACAAAGCTGTGTAATTAATGACAGAGGAAATAATGTATCTAAGTACCGTGCTCAAGTAAAGCGCTCGTATTACACGCTTTAATCTAGACTCGTAAAGCTTTGCGGCAACCATCGGCGGGAGCCATACTTTAGAACATCAAACACGCTTGGCAATCATTCTCCTTTGAGTTTAAAAAATATGAAGCCTTTGTGATTGATGCAACCCTCGACTCCAACCTGATTCCATCGCATGTTGTTTCATTATCTTGATTAGAGCTCGTCGTAAATCTTTGACTAATATTCACTGTTCAAAAACGAGATTCTCGGCTGTCCTACGTATTCATTAATCTTATTTGTTCAGTTTTGTATTGGTGCAGTAATAATAACGGTGAAAGGGGAAGGGAATAATTACGCATGAAAGAATTATTAAAACTTTTTTATCTTCTCCTACCCTTCTTTTTTCGCGCAATTATCCCACCGCGTGAAACATTTTTATGACCCGACTAGTCTCACGAAGAAAGTCGGAGCTGCTTCTAAAACAAACGTTAAATTATGGAATAATTTTGATATACAATATAAAGAAGAAGTAATTCTTTATATGTTAAAATTATTCGTCGTTTAACATAAAAATCATAGATATAATTTAATTTAAAAAAATGTGACAAAGAGTTGAAGAAGACGTGAGGCGCATATTTAACATTTCACAATTTCGAACGTGATTATTATCGATTATTGGCGATTCACCGTGTTCCACAGCCAATTTACATCTGCTTGTCCAGGTGCAAATGATATACAATGCGCGGCTAATGGAACTTGAATTTCGAGGGCATGATCTTTTGATTTATGATATCAATCGAAATCGAATTTCGCAATCATATAGTTAGTAGTGGAATATATATTCAAAAACCTTTTATTTCAAATCCTTTCCTACTCTTATAGAAAATTAATACTGAAAGATAGTGATTAATTACTTATTTTGGGTATCAAAAGCATTTTTGTATTATAAATAGTATTTTTAATTCGGCTGCAATCTGAATAATTTTTAGTGTAAGTTAAAATTTCATTTTTTTTCAACCAAAATTATAAAGGAGGATGAAGTCCGGTGATTTCTTTCAAAATATCTTCTTAATACACTATTCTAAAGATGATGAAAAATAACTTTGAATTTTTATTTATTATTGTTTGAATTTTCCTATATTTTTTAAAAGTCCTGAATAATAAAAAAAAACTTGGGCTGAACGGAGAGAAGTAAAAATACGTTGCAGACAGAAATTTAATATTCCAATTAATAAGTAATTAATCACTATCTGTCAGTATTAAATTGGCCAGTATTAAATTGGATTTTGTAAGAATATCAGATCTACATACGATAAAAACCATGGAGTAATCTTTGGAAACATTAAAATATTTTCTAAAGATTACAGAAGTTGTAACAAGAAAGTTTTAATCGATACTGATTAATAAAATTTTTTTTTCATCTCTCTTACATTACCTATTCTGCAATTATAAAGTCAAACTAAAGTTTAACGATGAATTTTAGAATCTCTATTACGATGTTGTAGCAATATTCTAGCGATTTTCTTAAAATTTCAAAAACTTTTTAGAATATCTAACAATAATTAGTGAGAATAATGCAGGAGTTACGATTGTATCTAATGCGCTTTCAAGAGAAAAAAATACAAGAGACATCAAATTCGATCGTATATTATACGACTTTTTGACAATCGTTTGGCGTATATATGATTGCACGTAGACGAATTGCTGCATTTCCAATCATTATTTATTGATAATAAACCTCGATTGTATAGCTTTTGCGAAGCAGAAGAGAGACAGAGAGATAAACGAATTGAACGAGCCAAATTGATTCTTACCTCGAGCAATTTATCTTCCAAATTTAAGGAAATACTACAATCTCCTATGTATGAGCATATTTGTTTCTATACAATTAAAAATCGCGTATATATTTTTGTTAATTTAAAAATCAATTTTATCAATTTAATAATTAGTTAGAAATTTATAAATCAAATTTAATCAATTTAAATTTAAATTTTACAGACACTTTAATAAAATCATATTATCCAGAAAGACATAACAACTTTTTTTTTAATGATATTTAAAATGTTTGCAAAACACATTTAAATATTTCAGATATTTTACGATATCAATTGAATTTCTAGGAAAGTTTTCCCTACAGTAGAACAAACCTTTGCAATTGTATTTTCGAGAAACCCTTAGGAATACATCGTTATAGCAATAAAGAAGCGGTAGAAAGATACGATGAAAGATAAGTAGCTTGCAGGAGGTTTTTAAGCAAACGGGTCGCCAGGGTGATCTTATACACGGTATCCTCGTCGCACTGTGCAAGCTCGCTCTCACCATTACAGCACAGAAACGTCAAGGATCTGCCATCTCAGAGATCTGTCAGACAGAACAGTAACTCGAAACGAGATGAAAGGAAAAAGGCTAGCGGCTGGTTACGTACGCGAGAGGGTAGCCGTCTCTGGGAAAACAGGGTTGGGCACAGGGTGGTGAGGACGCATGCGTCGGACCCGGCCGTCGGGGGCTGTCGTGTCGCTCTCTGTCGTCGGTTATGCCAGTCGTCGTGACGACTTCGAGCCGTCGTCGTCAAGAACGTCGTGTTTTCAAATCGTCCGCCGCGTGCCCACGCAACCTCACCGAATTTTCTCTTTCTCTCTCTCTCTCTCTCTCCTCTCTTTCTTCATCTTCCTCTCCCTCTCTCTCTCTCTCTCTCTCTCTCTCTCTCTCTCTCTCTCGTATTTCTTCCCATCATACTTTCCGCCGTATTCGCTCACTCATTTGCTTACTGCGCGCGCCAGTCGAGAATGTCGCGGCGCTTGCACCGCACTTCAAATCGCTGGCAACTTCGCGCCGCGGGTGTCGTCGGCCGCGATCGTCATCGCGGATGAGCATTTCCGTGTGTGTGCCCGGCAACATCCGATGGGGGATCGTACGCGGGTGATGTTGCGCGACTCGCGCGTTGGTGCGACGGAGTGACCTACGTCGGGGCCGTATATTGTATATATATATATATAT